TTGACCAGCCGAGAGAGACACACCATGATGTGCTTTTTTTTTTTCTTTTTAAATTTTCTTTCTAAGTGGTATGGTGTTGTAGGTTGGGTTCCCTGGAAACAGATCGTATCATTTGTTTGCAGAAGATTTCTTGTGGAGTTCTCTTGGGAAGAATGTGATGAAAGTAGGATTGGGCAGAAGCTAAATTGTGATGGAGTTGCAACAAACGTCTCAGCTGATGCCATGTGGAGCTCTGGAACTGGGATGGCCATTTATAGTTGTCACCAAGTGTCAGGCCTTTGTATGCCAGCATTGACCAACTGTTGGATTTGAGCTGTCCCTGGGAGGAGGGAAAATAAAATGACAAGTTCCTTTGGCTTAGGGCAACTTCTGGCAAGGGATTTAGCTATGATCTAGTCATCAGCATACTACACTTCTGACAGCTGGGGGAATGCATGCCTCAGGCCTGAAGGAAAGATCTGGGCAGCACATTATAACATCCACTACACAACACATGGGCCCACTGACAGCCTTGCCCTATGCTGTTGCCACATCTTAGAACATGCACTATGTAAATTTTCTTATTATTCTCAGTATTTTGTGCATCCCTGGACCATATACATTGATCCTAAGAGCTATGCTTCAGCTGCTTTCAGCAGCTAGCCAACAAAATGTCTTTTCTATCCGTGGGTCTCACTTAATGGTGGTGTCTCTGTCCTGTGAAACCATATGATGATGTGTGTGAATCTCATATCTGACCGTTTAGTATAAATGAAGATGATAAATCACAGTATCATAATGATAGCCTCCATAAAGACTCTAGTTTTAAACTTCCTCAATTACACCTTACTCAATATGAACCTGAAACCTACCTTCAGTTATTTTGTTTATGGAATGAGTATAAGCCAAAGCTCAGGAACAGGTCTTCCTGCCCTGTCAAAGGACCCTGCTTTTCTTAATTATCTATTTCTGGCCTACTATATGAAGTAAAAATATTTGATATACCTAGTCTTACTTTGGAGAGATTCGCATATTGTAAGGTTAAATGCAAAAGCAAGGTACAGAGAAGACTATGATTTATAATTTGATTTTTTAAAGATAAACAATGAAAAAACCTGATATATGATAATAAATATTTATATAGAATTAGAAGCATGGAGAATAGTATGAAAGAAGATACTGGGTTGTTAATGTTGCTTGTCTAGCATAGATGGAAGGTGGTAGAATGAAAAGTAGACTGGGAAAGAAGTGGTGGTGGGGGCGGGGAGTAGTAAGGAAAAAACAGAGGAGTCTATAAAAAAATCAGCATATACAACACTTCCAGTTGCACTTGTGAGTATGTGTGTGTGCATGTGTGTATGATAGCATACATGGAAGATGTTCACTAAAATTAATGGTGACTACTCTGAGTGGTGGGATTTTAGATGATTTCTAAATATTTTTTATATTATACTGTTTGATAATTATTACAGTGAGTATTATTTATATATTGATAAAAGAGCAAGCTATTTTTTCTTATTGTGAACAAAAAGATCCATTGCATTAAATAAGTCTTTCTTGAATAGAAATAAATGTCACTGTGTCCCTTGGAGTTAAAAAGAAAGCTAAATACTGAATTCATAAAAGAAGGTCAGATACACAGGTACATTCCAGATAATGTGATTCTGTCTCAAAGGAAAACAAGTTCTGAGCGTAATATTTTAAATATCAGTATAATATTTGAACTTTAATGCACTTTGAATATTGATTTTCGTATTTCAGTACCCAAATGACATATTTATTGCCTTTTTCTTTTCGTCTATCTATATGTCTCTATTTAATTGTTAGTTGAATTGTAAATTATATTACATCTTTGAGCCATACTCATTTGATTAAGGATGCCCATTAATAAGTCAATTGGTGTAGCTAATTATAAATTATGATAGATAGTAAACGCTGTATGGATACTTATTCCATGTATCCGTAGAACACTTTGATTCTGTATATTGTGATATGCTTCTAAATAGACGGTGACCTGAGGATGGCTATATGCAGTTTTCAGAACTTGCCCGGCTCCTTCATCCCTTAATACTCCTGGCTTTTATCTGTGCTGTTCTTCTACTTGCTCCCATGGCAATTTATAATGGCCCTGGTTTATAGCACATCTTGCTGCATCTGCCACTGGCCTACCACTGGCTTATGGGCCCCACAAGGGAAGGAACTGTGTTTTGTTCACTTACGTGTATGATTCACCCTCTAGCTCAGGGCCTAGAATACTGAATGAGTCTGATTTTTAAAATAAATTAGTGGCCATGAAGAAGATGATACACAATGATAATAAAATGATCAACTTCAGTTTTTCATGGTTTATTTAGTCTCACAGGTCCTCAGGGAAGGAGGATATTTCCTGCTTCTTCCGAACAAAGCCAAAGCATTTGAGTGAGATGACACGAAGAGTGTGTCAATTGCCTTCTTTTTTCATTTTTCATCAATAATCAGTTCTCTTCCTAGTTTCCTAAAGGATCAAATAGTTATGAAGAAATGTTTCCCTGCTTCTAATTTAGTAGTGAGATAGTTTTAAAATTTATTTTTTAATGTTAACATTAGATGTTGTTTAAACACAATACAGGCACATGGAGAACATTTTAAAAATACAAAGACATGTCAAGGGGAATATCTCCTCTCTCTGTCCCCAGAAACCCAATTCTCCTTACTAACAGCAATCACTGTTACTAGCTGCTTCTTCAAGAAACATGTTATGTATTTATGGACATAAATATATACATATCTGTACAGTCTTTCTTCTTCATATGAAAGAGAGGCAGATAGAGCGCTCCTCCACCTTGCTTTTTAACAATATAGCATAAGGATACATTCTTATTAAAAGATACATACAGATCCTCATTTTAAAAAGTTACATAGTATTCCACCCTATGATTATACACTAATTTACCTGATCAGTTCTTAGTGGGAATTTAGATTGATCCAATCTTTTGCTATTAGAAACAGTAGTCAATATTCTTGTACATGTGCCATTTTTCTTGTGTGAGTATACCAGTAAGATAGGCATCTAGGATTTTGGAGTTGTTGAGTCAGAGGAAATGACTTTTAAATTTTGATAATTATTGGCATGATATCTTCCATAGATGTTGTATGAATTTATGCTGTACTAGCAAAAACTGCCATTTTTTTTCCAACTTCATCTTTGATCTTTGTTAATTTTGGGGAAAACCGCATATATTTATTATGGTTTTATTTGCTTTCTCACCTTATGATAAAACAGAGTGCCTTTTTACTTGCTTAAAAGTTTTTTACTGTTGGCTTTTTTCAGATATTTGACACTGTTCCTATTGTGCTAATGGTCATGAAGTCTTTGCCTAAGCCAATGTCTAGAAGGGGTTTCTAATAGCAAAAGATTGGATCAATCTAAATTCCCACTAAGAACTGATCAGGTAAATTAGTGTATAATCATAGGGTGGAATACTATGTAACTTTTTAAAATGAGGATCTGTATGTATCTTTTAATAAGAATGTATCCTTATGCTATATTGTTAAAAAGCAAGGTGGAGGAGCGCTCTATCTGCCTCTCTTTCATATGAAGAAGAAAGACTGTACAGATGCTATCTTCTAGAATTTTTATGGTTGTGCTAATGGCATTTTTCTTATTGATCTGAAGATATATTGATATATCAAAGATATTAGTATTTTGTCTCTAATATTACCATGAAGAATATTCTGGAAGACAGAAATATAAGCTCAATTCAAGAAATAGAGTCAACTTATTGTTGCTGAAAGGGAAATAGAAAACTTTAGATTTTGCCCTAAGGTTATGACCTTGTATAACTTGTAAAGGCAAATACAAATAAAAAAAAAAATAAAAGGCTTAATTATCCCTGTTGAAAATGAGGGAAGAGACTTTCTTCTCTCCCTTTGCATAGAGCATTTACTTTAGAAAACCTGTAATTTTTTGGTGAAGATGTATGTAAATTTTTTTTCCTTATCTTAGGGATGGGGTCTCACTCTTGCTCAGGCTGGAGTGCAATGGTGCAGTCATAGCTCGTTGCAGCCTTGAACTTTTGGTCTCAAGCGATTTTCCCACCTTAGCCTTCTGAGTAGCTAAGGCTACAAATATGGGCTACACCCAGCTAATTTTAAAATTATTTGTTTGTAGAGGTGGATCTCACTATGTTGCCCAGGCTGGTTTGAGCCCAAGCTGGTCTTGAACTCCTAGTCTCAAGCGATCCTCTTGCCTCGGGCTCCCAAAGTGCTGGCATCAGAGGCATGAACAATTGCACCTGGCTTGTAAATTTTTGCAAAAGCTAAACAAGCCTCTGGTTAGCTTTATGACCCGGGAACGTCTTTCTCAAGAACCTCAAAAAAGGAAGTTAGTGCTCCCATCTCCCTGTTTCTGTGAAAGGGTAGAAGCCTAATTTTGGCAGTCTAATTTTTAAATTGCAAAACGATTTCCTGTCATAAAGATACGAATTTAGTTTTCCTTTGTATAAAGTCAATGAGCAAATACCAATGGTCACTCCAATTACCAGGTGAACCCAGGGTGAACTATGTGTGACAAATTGCGCTGTCAGGTCCTCTTGAGGACTAGTTATTGTTTATTTTGAGAACATACACGTATTGGGTTGTATTTACTTTGCTATATAAAAGGGAGAGATGTCTTTCTGTCCTTGCAGTCTCTTGGTGGATTGTTTGTGATATGTATCACATTCTGGTTTAACACTTACTCAATAACAAAACTACTTTCTTTCTCTGACAGCTTTGTGGAGAAGTTTTCTGGGTTGGTAAGAGATTTGTTTTTAGTTATATTTCCCCAACAAACTCCACCCAATTTTTTCAACTTACAGGCCTATCATTTGTAAAATTAAAGAGATAGAATACATATTTGACATTTCTTGTAGCCCTATGAGTTCTAGAAAATAAAACACTACAGTATATAAAGTTCAAAAACAATATAAACAATTTTCTGAGTGCTATGTTTTTTTAAATAAAGAAGATTCTGTCTCTCAAAATCTTGTAAACTAAGACTCTTAATTTTGTGTTCTCAGTATTTTCCTCATTGCATGTTTCATTTCCTTGTTCCTCAGGCTGTATATGACAGGATTAATAAGGGGAGTAACCACAGAATAGAACAGAGTCACAATCTTCTGCATTCCAGCTTCATGCCCAGATGTTGGGCTCACATACATGACCATCACTGAGCCACAGAACAGTGAGACCACAGCCAGGTGGGAGCCACAGGTAGAGAAAGCCTTTCTTCTTCCAGATGCTGAAGGAACCCTCAACACAGCTCTCAGAACCAGAGCATAGGACCCCATGATGAAGACAAAGGGAATAAATAGAAGTAGAGAACTTAAGGTGGAGCTAGTCAACTCTAGTAGAGGGGCTCTGGTACAGGTGAGGGCTAACAGAGGACCTGGGTCACATAGGAAGTGGTCAATAATCCTAGATCCACAGAAGGTCATTTGAGAAATGACACTGATAGGAATCAGGAACCACAGAAACCAAGTACCCAGCAGCTGCCCACAAGAATGTTGCAGAGATGTTTGGTCATAATAGTCAAATAGCGTAGAGGCCAGCAGATGGCAAGGTATCGGTCAAATGCCATAGCTCCCAGGAGAAAGCATTCTGTAGAGCCCAAGGAGAAAAAAAAGTAGAACTGGAGGAAGCACCCAGAGAAGGAGATGATCTTGGTGTCAGAGAGAAAGTTGGCCAGCATGCTGGGGACTGTAGAGGCGACATAACAGATCTCTAGGAAAGAGAAGTTGGCGAGCAAGATGTACATAGGGGTGTGGAGTCTCTGATCCCAGTGCACAGCACAGATGATGGAACCATTGCCCGTGAGGGTCAGGAGGTATACAACAGTGAAGAGCACAAAGAGGAGGATCTGCCCCTGCCTGGGGCAAGGGAAGCCCAAGAGGTGGAAGCCAGTGAAGGTGCTGGAGTTGCTGGGGGTGTTGAAGATTTTCATGTGCCTGTGACCTGTAAAATCACTAGCAGTTACTGGATGACAGTGAAAGGATAGATGGGAACTCAGATTTATATTTAAGCTATCTCTGGGAATGCAATAAGCACATCTATCAATAGTGACTCTCTCTCTCTCTCTCTACACACACACACACACATTTGATTCAGGGTCTTGCTCTGTTGCCCAGGCTAGAATGCAGTGACGCAATCATGACTCACTGCAGCATTGACCTCCCTAGCTCAAGCAATCCTGCCTCAGCCTCCTGGGTAGCTGGGACCACCATGTGGTATGTGCCACCATACCAAGAAAATTTCAAAAGTATTTGTAGAGAAGGAGTCTTCCCATATTGCTCAGGCTGGTCTTGTCAATTAATCCTCGTGCCTTGGCCTCCCAAAATGCTGAGATTACCATCCTGAGCCACCTGTGCCTGGCCAGTAGTGACTATTTTTGTCTAATCCTGAGATATTGTCCACTTGGACAATAGTTGTTGGTCTGTAAAATATACTACAAGTCAGTATCATGAATAAACACAGAAGTTTCCTTATTGTGAAATGTATGGAAACATGCATAATACATAAATATTCATCTTAATAAAAGATCATAATGGAAACATCATTGTAACTACCACTGAGGTCAAGAAATAAAATATTGTGTCCTAGAATCTCCTCACATGCCCCATCCCCATCACTCTCTGCCCTTCCCTCCTTCTAATCATAGCACTCTTTCTTCTTTATGATCATCACTTCCTTGTTTTTCTTTACAATTTAGTAACTAAGCATGCACCTCTAAATAATAGTACAGTATTATGTTTTGCTTGCTTTTGTTCTTTGCATAAATGAGATCATACTATTATACGTTTGGATGGTTTCTTTGTTCAACAGTAAGTTTTTGAAAGTCATGTTGTTGCATATATCTGTATTCTGACAATTTTTTACTGCTCTATACTGTTACATTGCAAGAATGAACCATTACTTTTTAAAAAGATTGAGATAGGGTCGCTCTCTGTCACTCAGGCTGGAGTGCAGTGCACCATCTTGGCTCACTGCAGCCTCTGCCACCCGGGCTCAAGAAATCTTCCCGTCTCAGCCTCCTGAGTAGCTAGGACCACAGGATCGTGCCACCATGCCCCGCTAATTTTATTGATTTTTTTTTTTTTTTGTATTGTTTGTTTTTTGGTGGAGACAGGGTTTTGCCATGTTGCCCAGGCTGGTCTGGAACTCCTGAGCTCAAGTGATACTGCCTGCCTCGGGCTCCCACAGTGTTGGGATTACAGTCCTGAGCCACTGCGCCTGACCGGAACCATCACTTACTTAAACATTCTACAACAGATAAATATTTTGGTTTACTTCCAGTTTGGGGCTGTTAGGGGGTAATGTTACTATTAAAGTGGAAATATTAAGAGAAATTAAATTTACAGTGTAAGGTTAAGCTAGAATGGGCATGAAGTAGCCCCCCTCCCCTGAAGTAAGAGTTAAGAAAGAATATTAACTGCTCCTCTGTAAGGTCTGTGAAGCATTAACCATATCTCTCCTCCACGTATTTTCTAAGTTCTGTAAGCTCCTGTTTTTCTTGCTGTGCAGCTGCAAGGTCACAAGATAGATAAGCATGAGTTGCAAGACATGTTTTCCCAAGATATAAGCTGAGTCCTAAGAATGTCACCTGATAATTAATTGTTTTGTTCTCGCTTTTGTAAGCCAGCTTCCTGTATCATGTAATTCCCGCCTCAAGGTGCATAAAAGTCGTTTGTTTTCTTTTTCTTTCTTTTTTTTTTTTGAGACGGAGTCTTGCTCTGTCGCCCAGGCTGGAGTGCAGTGGCGCGATCTCGGCTCACTGCAAACTCCGCCTCCCGGATTCACACTATTCTCTTGCCTGAGCCTCCCGAGTAGCTGGGACTACAGGCGCCCACCACCACGCCTGGCTAATTTTTTGTATTTTCAGTAGAGACAGGGTTTCACCGTGTTAGCCAGGATGGTGTCGATCTCCGGACCTCGTGATCTGCCCGCCTCCGCCTCCCAAAGTGCTGAGATTACAGGCTTGAGCCACCGCACCCGGCCCAAGGCGTTCCTTTTCTTTCTTTGCTGCTCACACTTTCAGAATGCATGTCTGCTGAGCCGATGTACACCTAAAATATACCCCCTTGAACTGCAGTTGGTCTCTCCAGTCCTGATTTCCCACTACACTATGACCATATAGTTTATCTCTCCTGGTTCACATGTACATGCATTTCTATTAGCTGGATCATAGGAGGTGTATATCTTCAACTGTAGAAAATTAAGCTAAAGTTTTCTATAATTATTGGACTATTTTTCACTACCATTGGCAGTATATTAGAGTTCTCATTATCAATATCCTTCTCTAACATTAAAGTCTGTATTTACTAGAGTCTTCAGAATGATATATAGATTACATTTTAACAATTTCTTTTTTTTTTCTTTTGGTAATATTACCGTGGATAGTTATCTTCTTGGTAGTACTTTTATTTAAAGTAGGTGGTTATATCAAAATCATTTTGCTTTCAAGATAAAATATTGCAGAAGTGATAAAGAAAACTGTCCTCAAGCGTGGCTGAGGAGAACATTTCAAGGCATGATGTAATTTATAGCCTCTCTGGGAAGTTCATTGACTGTTGAGATGAGTTCTGTTATCAATCTTACTATTTAAACCAGGCATTCTTTACTGTATCTTTTACTTTTCCTATATGCCCCTACCCAGGGAGAATTCTTTGAACTGACTCACTCAACAGCATCTTCCTGAGCATCAAGTTTCAAATAGAATTTTGTCATGGGCTTGAAATCAATTTGAGAAGTTACTTTACCAGAGATGATTAGGCATTAGCACAGTGCTTTGTACTTAGAAAGCTTTCAGGCCGGGTGCGGTGGCTCAAGCCTGTAATCCCAGCACTTTGGGAGGCCGAGACGGGGGGATCACAAGGTCAGGAGATCGAGACCAGCCTGGCTAATACGGTGAAACCCCGTCTCTACTAAAAAAATACAAAAAACTAGCCGGGTGAGGTGGCGGGCGCCTGTAGTCCCAGCTACTCAGGAGGCTGAGGCAGGAGAATGGCGTAGACCGGGGAGGCAGAGCTTGCAGTGAGCTGAGATGCAGCCACTGCACTCCAGCCTGGGCAACAGAGCGAGACTCTGTCTCAAAAAAAAAAAAAAGAAAGCTTTCAATAAATATCCATAAAATGAATGAATACATAAATACACTTTCTTATTTCCCAGAAAGGGATCACATCCACACAATACTTTTGGGCAAGGATGACTCAGATTGTGTGTCTGTGGAACAAAAGACCCTTGGAACTATTTGAAATCACTTTTCCCTTTTGAGATAGTGAACTAAGTCATTGATTCATGCTATTTGGTAACACAGTTTACCAATTTTAGGAGTAAAATGTTCAAATTAATAGTAGGTAGCTGCTTCTCACTTCTGTTAAAATAGTTCCCCATCCATCAAGGTAGATAGAGCTGAGGAATAGAATCAGGTTTAATTTTGTCTTGTTGAAACAGGTCTTTGATTGTCTGGTTGGGAATATGAGTCTGCAAAGTCCATTGGTTCCTATTCTAGTTATATAAACAGTAGAACCTGATATCAGTGATCCAATGTTAAGATAGGTTTAACAGGAAACTTGAAAATAAGAAAAAAACTTTACGTATTTTTGCTTCCTTTTCCAATCACTGTTTGGGAACACCTCAAGGCAGAATGACTTTGGGTGGTTATACTTTTGCATAATGACTTTATGTTCTTTTGAGTTAACAGTCTTAACCAGACTGTATTGTTACTTACCTTTTATTACTTATCTCTTCTGTGCAGAAGAAACTATGATGTTTACCTGCCACAAATCCCAGCTGGATTGAAAAAAAAAGAAAAGAAAGTAAAAAAACAAAACAAAAGAGAAAGAAAAAATCTAGCGGATTCACCCTGCATTGACTGTAGAGGGCACTGTGAACACGGGCACAACATTGTGTTTTTGTACCCAGGCTGCTTGGACCAAGTTAATTAACAACAAAAACTACTTAAAAAATCTGTTTACTCATTAAATTAGTCAACCCCAGAAAGCAGGGTGAAGAAAGACTATGATTGAATGAGCCAAGCTGTGTCACATGCAGCGTGATATGAAGGCATTTCCCTGATACTTTAGTGTTCCCCCAAAGTTCAATATGGTAGAAGTCTGGACATCTAACTTGGCTGACCCCTCCTCCTCAGCTAGCCCAGAGACGTCTCATGACAGCACACTTGCCTCCTCTTGTTTGTTTGCGCAGGTTCAGTGAGGGGGCTGCCATGTCTGTAATGTTGGGCAATCTGTTTCTAGAAAGTTCTTTAAAAAGTAAGGATAAGATAATTTTCCAGATTGGGACAAGTGGTAGGCAGCTGTACAAGATAGAAAAAGTCCTGGATTTAGAGTCAAGAGTTTTCTTTACTAGTCGTAGGAAGTTAATACTTTCTTAGTTTCCTTAACTATAAAATGGTCATAATTATGCCTTCTTTAAGGGCTGTTGCAAAGATTACTGTATGAAATGGAGTACCTTGACCAGTGCCTGATTAGTAAGAGCTTAAGAAATATTGGTTGTATGTGTGTGGTTGTGGTGAATTCAAAGAGAGGTGTGGGTAGAGCCTATTAGATTCTGCAACTATACTATATGACTTTTCTATTCTTGTAACAATAGAAATTGATTTCTCAGTTCTCAAGGCTGGAAAGTCTACCATCTTTTTACCTGTATCAGCAATGAAAGTCCCAAACGAAGATTCTCAGATATTTCTTTTATATTTTCTTAGAGTAAAGTGGTAGTCTTTTTGGTAATAATTAGAGAGGAGAAAAAGGGTGGAAATTCTGATAAGGATTCTTGACTTTGTTTGCTGAAGGATGGAGGGGTGTAAATAGATCCTCCCAGAAGTAAGTTAGCCTGTATATTCTGATCTTTGAGGACACATTTTCTGCTTTTAAAAGGAGAACAGTGTCAAGAGACAGTTCTGTGCTTGTTATTTACATCCCTTGGGGCATTCCTTAATTTCTGCTT